GGAAGACGAATTTACCACAGGAGATGGGAATGGCAGGTAGTGAGATGGGAAGACGAATTTACCACATGACATGGGACTTCCAAGATGGGAAGTGGCGGGTAATGAGATGGGAAGACGAATTTACCACAGGAGATGGGACTTCCAAGATGGGAAGTGGCAGGTAATGAGATGGGAAGACGAATTTACCACATGACATGGGACTTCAAAGATAAGAACTGGCCGGTATTGAGATGTGAAGACGAATTTACCACAGGAGATGGGACTTCCAAGATGGGAAGTGGCAGGTAATAAAATGGGAAGACGAATTTACCACAGAAGATGGGACTTCCAAGATGGGAAGTGGCAGGAGATGGGAAGACGAATTTACCACAGGAGATGGGACGTCCAAAATGGGAAGTGGCGGGAAATGAGATGGGAAGACGAATTTACCACAGGAGATGGGACGTCCAAGATGGGAAGTGGCAGGTAATGAGATGGAAAGACGAATTTACCACAGAAGATGGGACGTCCAAGATGGGAAGTGGCAGGTAATAAAATGGGAAGACGAATTTACCACAGAAGCATGGGACGTTCAAGATGGGAAGTGGCAGGTAAGGAGATGTACAGACGAATTTACCACAGGAGATGGGACGTCCAAAATGGGAAGTGGCAGGTAATGAGATGGAAAGACGAATTTACCACAGAAGATGGGACGTCCAAGATGGGAAGTGGCAGGTAGTGCAAGTAGTGAGATGGGAAGACGAATTTACCACAGGAGATGGGACGTCCAAGATGGGAAGTGGCAGGTAATGAGATGGGAAGACGAATTTACCGCGGGAGATGGGACGTTCAAGATTGGAAGTGGCAGGTAATGAGATGGGAAGACGAATTTACCACATGACATGGGACTTCCAGGATGAAAAGTGGCAGGTAATGAGATGGGAAGACGAATTTACCACAGGAGATGGGACGTCCAAAATGGGAATTGGCCGGTATTGAGATGGGAAGACGAATTTACCACAGCAGATGGGAAGTGGCAGGTAGTGAGATGGGAAGACGAATTTACCACAGGAGATGGGACGTCCAAAATGGGAAGTGGCCGGTAATGAGATGGGAAGACGAATTTACCACAGGACATGGGACTTCAAAGATAAGAACTGGCCGGTATTGAGATGGGAAGACGAATTTACCACAGGAGATGGGAAGTGGCAGGTATTGAGATGGGAAGACGAATTTACCATTTGACATGGGACTTCAAAGATAAGAACTGGCCGGTATTGAGATGGGAAGACGAATTTACCACAGGAGATGGGAAGTGGCAGGTAGTGAGATGGGAAGACGAATTTACCACAGGAGATGGGACTTCCAAGATGGGAAGCGGGAAGACGAATTTACCACATGACATGGGACTTCAAAGAAAAGAACTGGCCGGTATTGAGATGGGAAGACGAATTTACCACAGGAGATGGGAAGTGGCAGGTAGTGAGATGGGAAGACGAATTTACCACATGAGATGGGACTTCCAAGATGGGAAGTGGCAGGTAATGAGATGGGAAGACGAATTTACCACATGACATCGGACTTTAAAGATAAGAACTGGCCGGTAATTGAGATGGGAAGATGAATTTTCCATATGACATGGGACTTCAAAGATAAGAACTGGCCGGTATTGAGATGGGAAGACGAATTTACCACATGAATCCACATGACATGGGACTTCCAAGATGCCATCCCCAGCTGCGAGCGGGAGGACAAACAGCGGGACGACAAGTTTCGCATAACTGAACGCAATGGGGTCAACCACAGCGGGGCGACAGTAGGGACAGCAGAAGAGGGAAGAGACACAGAAGAATGCGAAACGGGTGGGGAGAGAGTAAGGCGGAGAAATGTCTGGTGTGCGCTGTGTGTATGCACAGGTAGTTCATGCAACTCTATAAACGAAGTTTAATTTTTTTAACTTAAAGTTTAAGTTCATGCGCAAAGTCTCACTAGCAATAGCCACATACATAAATGATGCATATACACACATATACACCTTTATATAACTGCAGGCTAGCACTTAGAATATTGACGTATTCATCCTGGAGGATCCAGCGGGCTCCGTTCAAGGTCCGGGTGAAAATTTCTACAATATTCTATCTGCATTGCGCTTAGAATATTCGATAATGAAGATATAAATAAAAACATTACTCCTTGCTCAATAGCTGCTAAATAGCTGCTACATAGCTGCCAAATTGTTACTAAATAGCTACGCAATAGCTGCTAAATAGCTTTGAAATAGCTGCTAAAATGATAGAAAATAAAGATGATAATATATATATATTTATATTTATTTATTTATTTAATTTTGCGCGTTTAAAATGAAAATAGATACCTAACATTTAAATAGAACAGAGAAAGCAAAGAAAAGACTTACGAACACAAACGAAATGAATCAAAGAAAACATGTTGGTACCATATTGGTACTATATCCTATTTTCTTATTTACCAGCTCTTGGTGTGGTGCAGCTGCTCAGCTCCGACCCGTTCCGATGGTTTTCAAAGTGAACACAGAAATATGAATTAGATTTATTGGTTTACGGTTTACCTTAAAACATAGAGAACACAGAAAATGTAGAAAATATAAGCTTAGTTTTGTTTTTCTGCGTTTCTCTTATCTTTCCATTCTGAATGAACCATTTCGGCGAGGAAACGCGCAAATCATTCACAAAATATGGGCATGCATGGGGCCTCTACAAAATACAAAGCCAAGCATAACAAACATCCAACACCACCTCTACAAAATAGAAGTCCATCCAATCTACCCCCATCAAAACATGACACAAAAATGCAAAACATGGCCTCTACAAAATCATCTCCTAGCAAACTGGGGTATTGCAAAATGAATCTTTAATTTGTTTGACGACGCTCAATCCTGTATTTTGTAAACAAAGTTGGGGTTTGAACTGGTGGCCCTGCACTGGCTCGAGAGGTGTTTGCACCTCATTATTTTGTAGCGAAAATGATCACAGGGATCTGCTAAATACGTGCGAGGTAGCTGCTAAATAGTTGCTAAATAGCTGCTAATTAGTTGCTGAATAGTTGCTGAATACATGCTAAATGGCTGCCAAATAGCTGCTAAAAAGTTACAAGTATTAAATGGCTGCTAAATAGCTTTAGTAGCTGCCAAATAGTTACTGAAATAGCCGCTAAATAGCTGCTAAATAGCTACTCAATAGCTAAAGAGCTGCTAAATAACTGCAGAATAGTTTCTAAGCTTCTCAATAACTGCTAAATAGCTGCTCAATAGTTGCTAAATAGTTGCTAAATAGCTGCTAAATAGCTGCTAAATAGTTGCTAAATAGCTGCTATACCGCCGGACTGGAAATTAGAATGCTGTCTTGTTTTCCAAAATGTTTTTTGGCTAAGGAAGAATGTGTCTGATATTTTTTTAAGAATGCGTCCCCCCATGGGCTCCCAAAAACATTCAAAATATCCAGAATTAGCTGGGGAACACATTTTTTCTTTCTCTTCTATTGGCAACTTCAACAGATGATGGGGAACCAAATGATGGTGAACTTTGTTTTTGCGGGGGTTTAGAAATTAACTGGGGAAAGCTTAGAATGCTTCGCTGTGGATGTTATGGTTGTGCGAAAGTAAAGAAATGTATCAAAACACAGTTTTCCATGTACAATCCTTAAATGGTCTATATCATCTTTCAAGCGTGTATATATATATATATATAGATGCCCGTATCCATTCCTGGCAGTCCGGCGGTACATATATATATATATACCGCCGGACTGAAAAGTTAGAATGAGACTTTGGTGGAAATACATGGGTTTCAAAAAAAAAACGCGTACCGCGTGAGAAATCCGGGACACATTCTAAGCCTGTTTATTTTTGTCCTGAAACCCAAAAAAATCCTGTGGTAACAACATAGCTCTGAAAAACTGATGAAAACGGTCCGGCCTGTTTATGTATAGTCACATACACATTCCGATGATCTACCGGTTATATTGTTATACTGACGGACCGAAAGATACGGTTAATTTCCATCTTTTCCATTGAGAAATAAAATGCTATGCCATGCAACTTTCAGCAATTAGAATGACCCCGCCACATATCAAAATTCTATCTTCCAGTCCATAACTAGGTGGTAAGCTTGGATTAAAACTGTACAAGCTGGTTGACAATTTTCCCTCGAAATATCATCTACGGCTCGGTGGAATGATTTCGTAATCATCCCAGGTAAGGTTAGAATGCCCTTGAAAGCCTTATTTCAAAACGGAACAAGTATGCTCAAATACCTCACCACTCATCTATTGGGGATTGGTGAATATAAAATCCATTACAGGAATTATCAATCAATAACCATCATATTCCACCATATTCCAATTATATAAATGGCCTTGTCATGGGTATATGGACCCCACTGGCAGACACATTGGTGTATCTGTAGCATGCGTAAGTTACTCATGCTAAAGATAAATAAAGACATATGACCAAAACAAGTGGTTTTCCTGTGTTCACCTCATGCAGGGTTAGATTGTGGTAAATTGCTACTTTGAATGCATCAAAAACATGTATTTTTCTTTTCTGTCTACAATTAGGTTGTAAACACCGGGACACTAGACATCCAAACATAATTTGATCAATTTGCCTCGGTCCAATTCCGGCTGGTATGCGCTCATCTTTTGCAGTTTTAGAATGCAGTAAATTGCCACTGCGAATGCTTTGACTGCAACAAACATTGGTCAAATTGCTTTCTTCCGTCCACAATCAAGTGAGTAGGCGATAAAAACCAAGGGAACAGTCATCCAAACAAACATCATTTGATCAATTTACCTCGGTCCACTTCCGGCTGACATGTGTTCATCTTCTGCAGGGTTTGACAAAGCTTACCGCCGCAGGAAGTCACGAGTTTCATGTCAGCCACGAGCTTCATTTCATGTTGTGACTTTGAAAAAGGTTTCTCAATTTGGACTGTCCAAGGAATTCAAGGAAATCCTTGAAAGTGGATCAAGAGCTCAGGTCAAGACACACCAAGGGCATTTTGGACCAAATGCATTGCGCACGTTGCCTCACAAGAAAAGAAACGGAAACCCAAAGGTCACCCAAGGCACAGTGATGTGCTGTGGTGGAGTTTCCTGATGCAACATGTCGGCAAAATTCACTGAATGTCTTGCCAGTCTAGCAGCTAGCACTGAAATCTTTTCATGTGATTCCTGGTCGTTCAATCCAGTGGATGCCGGATTTGCGAGCAGTTTGAGGTGGACCTCGGTCCCCTTCAGATCTTTGCAGAGTAGTTCTGACGCAGAAGCACCGTTGATTTTGAAACATGACATGCATCACAGAGTGCTTGGTGGAAGATGCCTGCACATGAAGGCGGCAAACTGGCATTTTTTGGGTGGAAAGCATACCACTGGTTTTTGGGGCTGGGAACAAGCTATGACGGCATGTAATTCTGCGTGGCCACCATGATGTCTTTGGTAGGCAAGGCACATTTGTTCCAGCCGCCAGCCCATTCCCAAGTGCAGCCGCAGCCTTGGGCTCATGATGCATGTTTGGGTGGCTGTCCTTCTTCAGAAAGAAGCAACAATGACAAGGGCCTATCCCTGACAAGAGAATTTTGTAGTCTTTGTGTGATTTACAAGCTTGACGAATACTTTTTGCAGACATAGAATGTGGCCAAACCTAGGTCGCTAAAGTCAAATAACTACAATTCTTTGTGCAGAGCCGATGGCAGTATACCCTTCCTCTACTTCAGAAAAAACATGATCTGTCAAAGGGGTTGCTTTGGGGGGGGGGGAAATTGAAATCGTAGAAAGCGGCCACTTGCAGCCACTTGCGGCCACTCGCTTGAAATTATCTGGGGCGGCCACTTGCGGCCACTTGAGCGGCTGCAAATGGCTGCGAATTTTAATCGACGCCCGGAAAATTGGAAACAATTGTCCTGCATTTTTTCCCATTCATAAAAGGTTGCACTAGTTTCCCCATGTCAAGGGTCTAGCATGAAGTTCCCTAAGGCATAATGGCAAAGGTCTGTCTAAAATCTAAAATGAAAAACCCAACCCTTGTACATCATAGCTCTGAGGGTCTACAATGATAAGGTCTCAAAGGTCTACAATGTTCTTGTGAACCAAGTAACACCCTGGGCCCCCGAACCCTGGAGGTCTACCCATTCCAGCCCCTAAGTAGTTGGTGTTTAAACATGCCAACATGAGCGTGAGCAGCACAGCTGCACGCTGCCCACTGAATACCAAACAGCCAGATCATGTTTATGCAGGCTTCGATCAAACATGCCATTCAAACATGCCAACATGAGCGTGAGCAGAACAGCTACACGCTCCCCAATGAATACCTGACAGCCAGTTCCCGTATATGCAGGTTTCGAACAAACATGCCACTTAAACATGCCACTTAAACATGCCGACATGAGCGTGAGCAGCACAGCTGCACGCTCCCCACTGAATACCTGACAGCCAGATAACGCATATGCAGGTTTGGAAAACTCATGCCACTTAAACATGCCAACAAAAGCGTGAGCAGAACAGCTGCACGCTACCCGCTGAGTACCTTACAGCCAGATCACGTCTATGCAGCATGCAAGTTTCGACCAAACATGCCACTTAAACATGCCAACATGAACGTGAGCAGCACAGCTGCAAGCTCCCCGCTGAATACCTGACTGCCAGATCACGTATATGCAGGTTTCCAACAAACATGCCATTCAAACATGCCAACATATGCCAACATGAACGTGAAACATGCCAACATGAGCCTGAGCAGCACAGCTGCACGCTCCCCACAATACGATTCACGAATATCAGCGGCAAAAGACAATAATATGATTTCGCAACCGGACTTTACAGAGAGTCACCCAGCGCCGCGCCTGCCACGCAAAGCCGCCGCGGTGTCAACGGCGTCCAAGGCGACAACCGGACTCTACAGAGAGTCACCAAGTGCCGCGCCTTGCCACGCAAAGCCGCCGTGGCGTCCACGGCGTCCAAGGCGACAACCGGACTCTACAGAGAGTCACCAAGTGCCGCGCCTGCCATGCAAAGCCGCCGCGGCGTCAACGGCGTCCAAGGCGACAACCGGACCTCTACAGAGAGTCACCAAGCCCTGCGCCTGCCACGCAAAGCCGCCGCTGCGTCAACGGCGTTCAAGGCGACAACTCTACAGAGAGCCAAGCGCTGCGCCTGCCACGCGAAGCCGCCGCGGCGTCAACGGCTGCCACGCAAAGCCGCCGCGGCGTCAACCGTCCAAGCGACAACCGGACTCTACAGAGAGTCACCAAGTGCCGCCCCTGCCGCGCAAAGCCGCCGCGGCGTCAACGGCATCCAAGGCGACAACCGGACTCTACAGAGAGTCACCAAGTGCCGGGCCTGCCACGCAAAGCCGCCGCGGCGTCAACGGCGTCCAAGGCGACAACCGGACTCTACAGAGAGTCAAACAGCGTCCAGGCGACAACCGGACTCTATACAGAGAGTCACCAAGTGCCGCGCCTGCCACGCAAAGCCGCCGCAGCGTCAACGGCGTCCAAGGCGACAACCGGACTCTACAGAGAGTCACCAAGTGCCGCGGAGAGAGACAAGTTGATAGAGACAAGTTGATACAGACAAGTTGATAGAGACAAGTTGATAGAGACAGGTTGGCGCAGACAAGTTGATAGAGACAAGCCGATAGAGACAAGTTGATAGAGACAAGTTGATAGAGACAAGTTGATAGAGACAAGTTGATAGAGACAAGTTGCTGCAGGCAAGTTGATATAGACAAGTGGTTAGAGACAAGTTGTTAGAGACAAGTTGATAAAGATAAGTTGGTAGAGACAAGTTGATAGAGACAAGTTGTGAGACACGGTGGGAGGCGGACACAAAGCTGTGGGGAATTACGCAGAAAGGCTACACAAATTGCAGCTCCAAAACTGGATCTCGACGCCCAAGCGGAAAAACGACGATTTTGAATCACTTTTTTTGAAAGGAATTTTAAAGGGAAAATCATCAGTGCCAAAATGGGAAAAATCTGCTGGCAAAGCACCATTCGCAACCTTCATGCAGCAGCTACAGTACGATTCGACTCTCAGCTGCGAAAGACAATTACGCACCAAGCCGCAACAGCGAGGAACCTTGCCCCAACCATCCACTGCGATCTGCACAGGCTAAACTGCAAAACACAAACGCACAGCACCAACAAAGAAGAGAAGTCACCTGGAACTCAGTTACACCTGCGCACACAGATCGAGCCGACTTCCACGGCAAAGCGACGATGCCGAAGCCCGTAGCGCACGCGAGCCAACTTTTCTCCGCAACGTAACGTCCATTTCCCCAAGAAAACACAATGTGTCCTGCAATTCCTAACTTTCAAATCGCATCCATCATGCAGCAGTTCTAGTGCAATCTGCCAAGGATGACTTGCAAAACACAAGCAGAATCGCAAGACATTACTACCCTTGGATAAGCCTTGCCGCAACCAGTCCACTGCGACCTGCACAGACTGACTTGCAAAACACAAAAGCACAGCATCAACAAAGAAGAGAAAAAGTCACCTGGAACCCTCCGTTACACTGCACGCACTTTTCGAGCCGGATACGGCAAAGCGACGACGCCAAAGCCCGTCGCGCACGCGAGCCAACTGTTCTCCGCAACGTAACCTCCGTTTCCCCAAGAAGACACAATGTGTCCTGCAATTCCTAACTTTCAAATCGCATCCATCATGCAGCAGTTCCAATGCGATCTGCCAAGGATGACTTGCAAAACACAAGCAGAATCGCAAGACAGTACTACCCTTGGATAAGCCTTGCCGCAACCAGTCCACTGCGACCTGCGCAGACTGACTTGCAAAACACAAAAGCACAGCATCAACAAAGAAGAGAAAAAAGTCACCTGGAACCCTCAGTTACACCTGCGCACACAAATCGAGCCGACTTCCATGGCAAAGCGACGACGCCAAAGCCTGTCGCGCACGCGAGCCAACTGTTCTCCGCAACGTAACCTCCGTTTCCCCAAGAAGACACAATGTGTCCTGCAATTCCTAACTTTCAAATCGCATCCGTCATGCAGCAGTTTCAATGCGATCTGCCAAGGATGACTTGCAAGACACAAGCAGAATCGCAAGACATTACTACCCTTGGATAAGCCTTGCCGCAACCAGTCCACTGCGATCTGCGCAGACTGACTTGCAAAACACAAAAGCACAGCATCAACAAAGAAGAGAAGTCACCTGGAACCCTCCGTTACACCTGCGCACACAGATCGAGCCGACTTCCACGGCAAAGCATCGACGCCAAAGCCCGTCGCGCACACGAGCCAACTTTTCTCTGCAACGTAACGTCCATTTCCCCAAGAAAACACAATGTGTCCTGCAATTCCTAACTTTCAAATCGCATCCATCATGCAGCAGTTCTAGTGCAATCTGCCAAGGATGACTTGCAAAACACAAGCAGAATCGCAAGACATTACTACCCTTGGATAAGCCTTGCCACAACCAGTCCACTGCGATCTGCACAGGCTGAACTGCAAAACTCAATAGCACAGCATCAAAGTGAAAAAGTCACCTGGAACCCTCCGTTACACTGCGCACGCAAATCGAGCCGAATTCCACGCAAAGCGACGACGCCGAAGCCCGTCGCGCAACGTAACCTCCGTTTCCCCCAACAACCGCAATGCACCGTGCATTTCCTAACATTCAAATCGCATCCATCATGGAGCAGTTCCAATGCTGCCTGCCAAGGATGACTTGCTCTACTTCTACTTCTGCTCTACTTTGCTCTAATCTACTCTACTCTGCTCCACTCTACTCTACTCTACTCTACTCTTCTCTACTCTACTCATCTCTCCTCTACGCTACTCTACTCTTCTCTGCTCTACTCCTCTCTACTCGACACAGTTCTACTTCTACTTCTGCCTCTACCCTACTCTACTCTACTTCTACTCTACTCTTCGCAACTCTACACAGCCTTACTCTATTCTACTTCTACTCTACTCTTCGCAACTCTACACAGCGTTACTCTACTCCACCCTACTTCTACTCTACTCTTCGCAACTCTACACAGCGTTACTCTACTCTACTTCTATACTCTACTCTACTCTACTCTACTCTACTTTACTCTACACGGCTTTACTCTACTCTACTCCTACTTCTGCCTCTACTCGACCTGTACGAAGGTGCTGGATTGTAAAGAAGATTCACCAGCAGGGAATAAGCATCTTTTGGATAATTCCCCAATCCTAACCATCATCTCTGGTGATGTCGGCCAGTGGGGTCGTTTTCCACGCATGACGCGAGACTTCTACGCTGTTCTGCTCCGCCGAGACATCCGAGACTGTGGCTGTACCGCCGCGTGGTCGCGTGGCTTGTCAATAGCCAAACTGCATGGAATAATCCTGAACTTCGAGTCTATGCGAATGTGCCACATGAGTCTGAGATGTTGTACCTTTCTGTAGTTACTAAAGTATGGGTAAATCTCAGTTGCGAACCTGTTCTATCTCTATGGGTGTTATCAATCCATCTGCCAACTGGACACAATGATCTTTTAGCTAGTGAGAATGTGACTTCATGATCTCTTAACGCAGGTGCCAACTGGACACAATGATCTTTGGTTGGTGAGAATGTTCACTTTCCGTAACTCGGAGTTTCCTCTATAAAACTTCCTTTGACAATTCAAACACGTGGCATTGAAAGCAAACTATAGGTGCCAACAAAGTTTGATAGTGGGGAGCAATGACCAAACGTAATAGCGTGAAATAATGTGATCGAGACTTCATGAACCTCCTGACGACTCTTGCACCCGTGGCATCTAAGCCTTTCACGGAAAAGCCAGTTGCAGAATTTGTTGTGAACTACCTGGCGCACACGGCGATAGTCCTGCCAATCCGGCAGGGTGTCCTATTTTCCCTTGCCAAGATGTGTTCTCATGCATTGATTGCAACATCTATCCACCGCAAAGGATTTGCAAAACCCTATGCTTTTCATACTGTAAAGCCCGCATACCTGCTGAAAGCCTTCACATAGAAAGGCCGCAGCAACTTGCATTGCGGCAGTGCCAGCACTTTCCTGCCAGGGTTGAGCCAGGATGAAAGTGGCAAGAAAATTAAGGCACCGTAAAACTTTGAAACCCGTTTCAGGTTGAATTATTAACATGAATTAAAAGCAAAAGATTTGCACTTCGACGATTCGAGTCTTTTTGTATAGCACAACGCGGCCCAACTCCTTGCACACGTGTGCTGCGACTCCTGTACTCAATGCTGCTCCTGCAAGGGTCACAAAGTGAGGTGGCATGGATTGTGTGGGTTCTTGAAGCAGCTCGTAAGCAATACAATAACTTGAGCTCAAAAGACGAAATCCAGGCCAGCCTAGCCAAGAAGTATTGGATTCGTCTAAAATTCATCTGTTGCGAGATCTAAAAATTCAGGAGAATCAGGCGAAACTCACAATGAGGAAGGCAAGCAGTGTTCGTCATCCTGCAATACTGCTACAGCAACAAGAAGCATCTCATTTCTTAAAGAGTTCACAACGTTCCACAAGGAGTTCCACAAGGAGTTCACAAAGAGTTCACAAAGCATTCGCAAAGCGATCACAAAGAGTTCGCAAAAGCTTTATGCATTCCACGCTACTTCCACTATCGACCTTATGTTCGTGCTGCACAGTTCACAGTTCGGGATTATATATGTGATCATATTATATACGCGTGCAAATATAATATATATATATATATATTATATTAACTATATATATAATATAAATATAACTCTATATATATATATATCATCCGACGGTACCTCCAAAGTGGTCAACTTGAGCTTTTCATGAGCTCCCTAGCTTTGCTAAGTAAAAAATACCATGAGGAGTGTGTGCAAAAGAAAGAATGCATTGACGGGTTGCAACTCAAACAAACCTACAAGAACAAGAGCAAAAGACTATGGTATCGTGGCATTGGTTGCGAAGCGACGCAAATTCAAGGCATGCAAGGCATGCATTTGAAAACGCAATTTGTTGATCCCGCTCAGAGTTTCAGCTTGCAGAGTCTGGGCTTGTAGCGATGTCCGTTATGAGGACTCTTTGAGGCAAAGTGTTGACATGAGTTCATCCTTTTGCATTGCCTCTGGGATTACTTACCGTCTGGCTACTCGCGCCTGCAGTTGCGCCGGAGACAAAGGCTGTATTGTAGGCTACCTGGAGCAGATCTGAGAAATTGTCAATTTCAGCGCAGCGGAGGTCCTTCAGAACTTATTGAGATACTTCTTTGAGATTGTCCGTGTCTTGTCACTGTATAGCTGGCACTGCCTGGTGCTTCTTAGCCAAACTTTACCATTTTGCAATTGGCGGTGCCCTTGTGAGTGAAGTTCAAGGTCTTCGCCACTGCCAAGCCAAGCCCAGCACCAACTGCACAGCTGGCAGACAGGCAGCGAGGCACCTCAAAGCCAGGCGATTCTCACACCTCTGATGACCTTACAAAGCCTCCCAAAGCCTCACAAAAAAACGATCTGAAGCATTCACTCGATGTTGCAAGTAAAGTAGCATATCATATGAATATGTCATCACATATATGGGCACAGTGGCAAACTGAATAGGGCAGGTGATAAAGTCCACCTCTGACCCCACAAACAAAATCAAAGACAGGATACCCCAAAAATGCATAATCAAAAGATCACCGCAAAGCAATGCAAAGCCTGTAAAAGCCATCATCACAGCCGAGGAAAACCTGGTGCAATTGTTGGCTGGGACACCTTGGTGATAGCTTCATCATGACGCGGGCCATCAAGCAGGGGCACTGGATCAGACATCATGCTTGTTTAGCCAGTGTTGTGTTCAAGCATATCTGTGTAAGGGGGCCTGCAGCTTGTGTGGGCGTGCAGGTGCTCTAGTCACATTGCTACAGTAGCTTTCTGGTGGTGTCTCTGCTTGGCTCAACCATCCACACTGTGTTTCTTAATCGTTCAAATTGAAAAAGGGAGAGCATGAATTGTGCTTTTAAGCAGAGAAATGGAATTCTTGGGCCCTTTGCAAGAATGGAAATACAGTATATACTTGCTTCGCATTTCAGGGATATCTACTGCTGCAAGCGGCTTGTCCAAGTCCCATCGGAAGACTAGGATCAAGCGAGTTCCAAAGCTGCCGCTGAACGCTGGTGATTGGGCCAAGCTTGGAGGCACTTTACCATCCATTTTCTTTTAGCTTTTCAAAGGTGGATCCCAAAAAGACAGCAAGTTTTTGACCTCAAAACATATCATAAAATCATGACATGCGCTTGCAATGGAAGCCAAAGTAACAAGAGAAGCTAAAGTGCAAGGAGTGCTTTGGCCAGATGCTTGCGAAGTGAAAAAGACTTTGCACTGCTTCACTTCTACCCGCCTGACATTGTCTACGAGTCCGCAGGCCAATTCTATGTTTTGAATATGGGATCACTTCAGCAACTTCTGGTCGGTAAGTTCCAAGGCTTCGAGTCTGCGATCCAAAAGGGCCTTTAGCCTCGAACTTGCAACACGCCGGCATCATCCGGCATCATTTGGCATCTTCCTGTTGCATCATGCCAACACATCTTCAACACATTGCATAATGTGGGGAGCTTGAAGGCTACATAAGGCTACTAGCTCTGGCGGCCTAGCATAAGATTGCTAGCTTGCGAGCAAGCAAACCAATCCCTTCACTATCTCACAATACAGAATGCTCACAATGATCACAATGATCACAATGCTCAGGTAGTGCAAGTCACGTGCATAATGTTGAGACTTTGAGTTCCCCTTTTTGAAGCACATCGCAGCGAGCTTACCACCAGCTGTCAGGCACTCTGGCACTCTGTGTCTCTGCGTCTTTGAATACCATTGATTTGGCTAAAAGACTCTTGCACTTCATATGTACATAACTGTGACACAACTGTGACACAACTGTGACACAACTCGGCACAATTCCATTGCCTCTGCGCAAGACCTTAGGATTCAATACAGCGATGGGAGTAGCTGACACTGTGGAATGCAACGTGGATAGATGCATGATAGATGCATGTGCACGAGGAAGATGCTGCCAAACAGCTGGAGAAACATGGCATCTTGAAGCATAAAATCAGTAGCAAATAAGTAGAGAGCAAACTCTTGAAGTGTCCTTACTCCTCCAGGCAACTTTCAGCCAAAGCTGATTGAGCTAAGATAGCTAAACAGCCCTTCACACATGAGTTCTTTCTTCAAACAAAATGTCCTCATCGGCTGGCATAACATCTTTGACCTGCCAAAAATAGAAACGATGTCAGCTCACAATGAACCAATTCCTTACTTTACCATTGCAGCGCCACAAGTTGAGTCCATGTGGAAGTGTTCATCATGTTTTGCGTGTGCTGCAGGCTGCTGAAGTGCTTTGGCTCACTTGCTGCCTCCGGAATGTAGTGCTCCATGAGGTTTCTGATGCCCATATTGAGGGTGACGCTCGATTTTGGACACCCAGAACAAGCACCTGAAGCTACAACTCCACTCCATTAGTGGAATGTGCAAGGTGAACTGCGGAACCCTAAAGCGTGAAGTCTTCAACCAAGGTTCTCCCTATTGCTACAAAGCATTCTCAAACAAATCTCTGACCAATGGCAATCTCAGCTTTTGACCGATCATCCTCAAGTATAAGATCCCTGAAGTATTGTCGAAACGATCAAATTGCACATCTCCGCCATCCTGACTTTTAAGCACTGCATTTGCTACAGAAACAAAATGAAACAAATACGCAGCGCTCCTGCTGCACAAATGGTCTAACTCGTTCTTCCAGCAAATGAAAAATCCGTCCCTTGGACAGGTTTTCAAGCTTCGCAGTGGTGACAAGCATCCAATCCAAAGTGGTGCATTGGTTTGGACTCTTTGCACACAAAGAAACGGTGTTCAAATATGTTCAAATCAGTTCTGCTGTTGTCTTGCGTGCATCAGATTCCACACACACGAAGCGATGCCTCGACACTGTCAGGATCTAATTCTGCGTGGGCATCATTGGCCTAAAATTGAAACATCGGCACTTCTGACTGTCCATTTGCACCGATACACCGTCTACATATATCTATATATACACACACATATGTGTGTGTGTACGTGCGCGTGAGTGTATCTGTGTGTGTGAATGTCTATGGTCAAAGAGTCAAACATGCGCATGCCACGTTGAAGTTCATGATGTTTCTGTTCCAGGAATGACCTTTCCTGGAAGCAGGGATGCAAGGCGCAAGCTCGGGCATTTCCAACTCCGTCCCGAAGCGCCTGCAAACAAATCGCAAAATTTCCGCACATGCACTTGGTATTTGGGGAGCATTTCGAACCTTGCTTAAAAACACCTGCAATTGCAGCTGTGGTTCAAGAATGCACACATCACCCATGGGCCCATGGGTGGCTGTGATCAAAGCGCAAACGCTACTGACAAGTGCTATTAATTATGTTGCTGTGAAAACCAACCAGGAGCTCGAAACATTGGTGTGTCAAATCGGCTCTGTGCAACAAGAAATTGTGTACCTGACGGAATCGATGCAGCGGGTTGCAGCTTTTGCTTTGCGCTCCCGGTCGAATCTTTGGATCGCAACAATCATAAAACCACAATCCACAAAGCAAATAAAAAAAAAAACAATCAGTCATCTTTGTCACTGCAACCATACCTCCAGACCAGCAGCATAGAACTGGCTGATGACCAACTCCAAGTTGGGTTGCAAAAGGTTCCTGGCACAAGTGCCGTACATCATTCCAAAACCTGTATGCGCATACAAAATCATACGAAAATAGTTTATCCTGTATCTTGATTGTCTTGATTGTCTTGATTGGCAACATTTGCAACAAGTTTCCTAAGGCTTCAAGGGACACCTCTCGAAACGCCCAAACACCACCTATTTTCGTGCCAAAAACGTGCAAACATATAGCAAGAAGAAGTGCCTAACGTCCCTTCTGAATCCCTAGAAAGAGCTGTTCGGGGCGGGGACCACTCTGATCCGGGGCTTGCTGTGCAGGTCCAGCAGGGACCAATGTGATCCGGGGCTTGCTGTTCGGGTCCGGCGTGCTGTTCGGGTCCGGCGGGTCTGGCGGGGACCACTGCGATCTCGAGCTTGCAGTTGAGGTCGGGCGGAGGAGGAAGGAAGAGGAAGGAGGAGGAAGGAGGAGTAGAGCTGACATAAAATCTAATAACCCTCGCCTCACAGGTGGGGAAAAAATGGTAGAGCATATAAAGATAGGAAGCTGCAAAAGTAAAACAATGGAAAGGAATTAGGGTAACAAAAAAATATTCTGATTCTTGAGGCTGTTCTCTGACAGCGCAATTAAGATTCTAAAAAAACTCGGAAATAGCAAACAAGTGCACAATATTTTGTCCAAGATTGTCCAAGATTCTTTTGATAATGTTTAGCGATGGAAAAAAAAGGCAGACAGGTAGAAAGATATAAATGCAGAAAGACTAAACAACTTGAGAGGTAGAGATAGATGGATAGATAGGTAGATAGATAGATAAGATAGACAGATGGATAGGTGGATGGATCGGTAGATAGGTAGGATAGAAAGGACAGAAAGGAAAAAAAACATATAGATTAGATACATGAGATAGATAGGATAGACTAGATAGATTAGGACAAATAGATAGGTTAGATCGGATAAATAGATTAGAAAGATTCGATTGGATTAGACTAGACCAGATTGGATTGGATTAGAATGGATTAGATCAGATTCGATTAGGATTACGTTAAATTATAATATTATTGGATTTAGGCTACATTAGGTTAGATTGAATTAGAATCTGGATTCAGGTTTGGGCTAAGAAAGACATGTAGATTTGGATATGTATTTAAGTGTAGTTTCAGATTTAATTTTCAATTAGATTAAGATTCAAAATTAGGTGGGTGTTCAAATTCCGATAAGGATTCAGACGATTTAGATCCAGATTAGATAGATAAAAAAAGTCGAGTTTAGACAAGACAGACAAGATAGAACAGACCCACCAAATACATGAGATGGATGAGATAGATATGATAGACAAGATATAAAAGACAAGATAGATAAGATAGATCATATAGAAAAGAAAGATGATAATACCGAAAAAAAAATAGAGCAGAAAAATGAGATAGGTAGGATAGACGAGATAGACAAGATACACAAGGAAGATACGATAGATCATACACAAAGAGAAAAGATAGGATAGAAATAAGACAGAAAGATAGACCAGGTAGACTAGATAGATAAGATAGACAAGATAGATTTACGAAACGAAAGAGATAAGACAGATCATATATAGAAAAGATAGATGCGATAGAAAAGTTGGATAATACACATCATACAGGAAAAGAAATAGAAAAGCAAGAACAAAACAAGATAAGATAGATCATATAGACAAAATAGATAAGATAGAAAAATAACAAGCATAGATCATAGATCACATAGAAAAAGAAATAAGCGAAAACCTTTGTAGATAATGTAGATCTTTGAACAAAGAAAAGATCAATAAGATAGATTTAAAACGGAAAAGGTAGTAGATATATACGAAAGAAAAATCTAGATTGACAGATAGGTAGGCAGATAGATAGATAGATAGATGGATGGCTGGCTGGATGGATGGATACATGGATAGATAGATAAATCAATCGGTAGATCGATAGATCGGATCGATCGATCGATCGATAGATAGATAGATAGATAGGTGGATAAGTGGATAGACATATAGGTAGGTAGATAGATAGATAGATAGATAGATAGGATAGGTAGATAGATAGATAGATAGATATATAGATAGATATATATAGATAGATATAATAGATAGATAAGATAAGATAAGATAAGATAAGATAAGATAGATTAGAGTAGATAGATTAGATAGATTAGATAGATTAGATAGATTAGATAGACTAGATAGATTAGATAGATTAGATAGATTAGATAGATTAGATAGATTAGATAGATAGGAGGACAGACAAATGGAAAGAAGACAAAGAAAATAGAGATTGATCGACTTATAGAGGGATAATAAGAACGGTAGAATAGCGCAGGTAGATAGTAGATAGATTGGCCGATAGAAAGAACACAAGATAGATAGATAGACATGTATCGGTAGGTAGTAAGAAAGATAGACCAAGAGAAAGATAAGTAGATTTGCAAGAGTCCACTTGGCTTCAGATTAATTAACCGTCTTTTGTTAAGATCTGTTGAATTATTTTCATGTTGCAACAAGTGATCTGGAGACCCTTTGTTGGGATTTAAAAACGGATTCCTCAGGTCACTTGTTCAAAGCTACTTCAAAGTGGACAACTACCCAACATAGACATACCGATAGGTAGGAAAAAACAGAGTAAAGAAGAAAAGAAAGGACATTAATTAGATGGAGAACGGATAGAAAGACAAACTAGGAACAACGATAGATACAATACATGCATACATAGATATATATATATATAGATAGGTAGGTATGTAGATAGATAGATAGAGGCATTGATACATAGATACATTGATTTGAAGGAGACGAAACAGTGGTAAGACTCGACGGGTTTGAAAAGATTAGATTAGATTAGGTTAGATCAGATAAGATAGGCAAAAATACTATTATATTGATGGAGAGGACAGATAGGATAGATAGGAAGGATAGGATAGATAAAATAGATAGGATAGAAAGTAATACATAGATAGAGACATGAACGGATGGATGGATAGATGGATAGGTACATAAAAAAATTAATCATAGATAGATAGATAGATAGGTAGATAGATAGACAGACAGACAGAGAGATAGATGGATGGATGGGTGGATAGTGGATGGATGGATGGATGGATGGATAGATAGATAGATAGATGGATAGATAAACAGATAGATAGATAAATAGATAGATAGATAAATAGATAGATAGGTGGATAGACAGGCAGGCAGATAGCTAGATAGACCAATCGGTTAGATAAAATTGGATTGGATTTGATTAGATCCGATTCGATTTAGATTAGATAAGATTAGATTTAGATTGGGTTAGAATAGATTAGATTGGCAAATGGATGTAGATATGCTGCATGCGTACTGGGTGTACTCGCTGCGCTCGGTGCACTGGGTGCACCGGTGCACTCGGTGCGCTGCATGTGCACTCGGTGCACTCGGTGCACTCGGTGGACCTGGTGCGTGCAGTCACTGATCGCGGCCGCAATTGTTTTTGGCGCCAAATTAGGTGGTGTTTGCGCGTTTCGAGTGGTGTCCCTTGAAGCTTTAGGAAACTTGTTGCAACTGTTGCCAATCAAGACAATCAAGACTATCAAGATACATTGCAAAATGTCTTCTTTTTCTAGGGATTAAGAATTGTAGAATCACAATCGGCTTTGCACAACGAATCCAACTCACAGCGAAGCGGGCAACGAAGTGATCGGCCTTTTTGCTAGACAATGCGTAGCATGGCTTAAGATCTGAAGGAAATCGATGGGCGGTTCGAGCCCAAGCAAAAAGACGGCCGACAGGTCACATGAGATCATCCATGGTCAACAACAGCTTTCACATCCATCCTAGTTTCTTCTTGACGTTGCATGGATGACTCAGGATCTGCCACAGCATGAAACATGCTAATTAGAATTGGAGCTGCTTGCCCGATCAACGCATGCTGATTTGGCAGCTCACTGTACTTCACGGCCGTTTCCAAACGGCGCCATTCACACTGGGCGTCGTCCAGATTGAATCTTGCATAGCTACTTCGAAGTGGCATCTAGGCAGCGGAAAATCTGGGTTCTGGTGTTCGGAACGAGCGGGCATTGAAAGCAACTTGGATGCCTATCCCACTAATCAAATGCCAACCTCTTCTTTCACCAATCTTCATCAAATGTCCAAGCAAAGGATCTCCACCATCCACTCTCACTCCAGGTAAATCAGCGCATGCTGAAACAACACCTAAAGGCTTGAGCTTCTTGGCTTTGGCAACCTGCTTGACAAACTCCGGGGAGTAGGAAATTGACCACCTACCCAGAGACATGATGCTGCGCATGTGAGACAAATCCATATCTTTCGTCCCACCATCAATCCACATGTTCTCTGTGGATGTCCACTTCAAAGCAGTATTCGGAAGTCGCAATACGGACCTCATCCAAGCAATGCTGAAGGCCAAAGACTTCTGTGATCCAAATCCAGGCGTATCTGAATTTGACTTGTCGAAGACATCTTTGGCATCCACAACAGCAGTCAGTGGAACGCTGTGGATCAGCAAATCAGCGCGTCGTCCGGTCAACTGTCGACCTTGCGCCAATGCCAACAAGCCACGGGCCAGCTGCCCACAATCCAGAGCTTCTTCAGCAGATAGCGTTTCTGCTGCGTAGGTAGAGCGACAAACACGAGGGATCCTGTGTGACCTCGCATCCAGTATGTTGAAAAGTCCTTGCTCACCTTGAAGCAATGATTGCTCTGCCACAAGCACAAAGTAGCAGGCCTGTGAGTATGTCTTTTCCACAACATCTCCTTGATTGCTACCGCATACAGCGACATTTCCAAGGGCTGCATCTGAAACCACTACAATGCCAGCTTTGCGAAAATCAACCGGTCTGAAAACAAGCTCAAAGTTTCCATGCCTTTTGAACTCACGCACCAAAGCATTTGCACGGATCAGAGTGCCGATGGTAGGTGGGGATTCACCTTGAATCACACTGACATGAAAACCCATGTCAAATCTGCATTGTGCAACCAACCATTGTAAACTGCCAATCACAGCTCGTAGCTTGCGAGCTTCGACAGGATTCAGTGCTGCAGTGGGGTCAGATTTGCGGTGCTTCTCAATGATGATCTCTGAAACATTCTCATGATAGGCCACCATGGAAATGCGGATAGTGCCATCTGAATGGCGTCGGATTCTTTTACCGCACCAGACAAAATCATCACGGTCTACTGATCCGAAACCCAACTCAGCACCAATGGACATGAGTGACTGTTCTGCCTTAGGGCTGCCAGTGAATAACAAATCATCCACGTGAGAAACGATTGCACCCTCCAATGTTCGAGAACCATCAGCTGCCACGGACCAGAGAAACCAAAGTGCGCCATCAATGCAACTCTTCTCCCATCCGTGCTCACTCATGGACCTTGATAGCCGCAACCACCACTGGCGAGGTGCATCTGCCAAACCGAAGATGCCCTTGACAACTTTGGCTAGTTGCCCTGGTCGCAGTGGCACTGGTGGGCTTACTGCCTCATTGGTCTTCGTGATCCAGAGTTGACGTGAAACATACCTGTCTCCTTTCAAGAAAGCAGCCTTGACGTCTGCCGATATCAAAGACCATGTATGGTTCCATGCAGCGATGATAAACAAGAGGTGTTGTGCAATGCGACTGCCAGTTGGTGCATCTCGGCGGAGAGACCCTTCCAAGTTTGCACGATCTTTGAATCCTGGTACGACCATTCGGGCTGAATGACGCACCGGAAGGTTGGAAGAGCTTGATCTCAAACCATCATTTTTGTCGGTGCATACAAACCTCGGCACCAGAATGCGATCCAACTCAGATTTGCGGGCCAACTCAGCTCTGACTCGGCAGCTCTCTTCCATGGACAAGACCTCAATGGCCTCATTGTCGATGTATGCCATCCAGCCTTTTACAGCTGCTTCGCCCCAAAGCTTCTTCTCCTCTGGAGTCATCTTGCTCCATTGATACTCACGTCTGGCTGTTTGCACCTGGTTTACCTCAGTTGCATCAAACAGATCAGCAGCTTCACCATTGGGAAAACGTTCACCCAGGGATTGCATAAGCTGCCAGTCACGTTCACACAGCATCGCCCAACGACCGTCCCACGTCCCATGATCAGCTTCAACACATGACATAGGGTCACGACGGTCCTTCTCCACATCTATCTGCAGCTGCATCAAAGGATGCATACGGCTATGTTGAGCTGCAAGGTTGTCCAGCTCAACATTGCTCAATGCCAAGGCCTCGAAAGCCGGCAGAGCAGACGACGCCGTACTTTGTGAAGGCTTCGGCTCACGATCGCCTTCATCTTCCGGCGGTCTCTTCACGCCGCGCTGCAGATCATCCAGGCTTCGATCTCTCTGGATGGTTCTTTGCAATGATGTGGTCTCTTCCAAAGGCGGTGTCGTAGGAACCGGTGTCATTGGAATCTGAGATGCAGACAATACCAAATCTGGCACTGGAGTGCCAGGGGCGGCGCTAGACGCACGCGATGCATCAGACTCAGGCATTGATATCAGTGAGGAACGTCTAGAAGCAGGGGCCGATGCGGGTGGCTCAGAAATCGCTGGCTGCAAGGCTGCCACAATCTCTTGCGGTGACAAGCCTGATGGAACTGGTGTCCCTGATTCTATCTGGGCATCTTGTTGCAGCATGTCTTCAGGGCTTGGCAAACCAGCTTCATCATCGGCAGGTTCATCTAGACCTTGGCTTTCATTCCGGGCAGTTTGAATGATCTCGTCAATTGCCGCTTGCCAGGAACCAGCTGCAATGCTTTCCAAAGATGATGCAGGCCTAACATGCTCCAAGGGACATTTTGTCAGTTGCCCTCGGTATGATATGGAACAATTTGCAGCTACATCACCTTCCAATGCCACAAGCAATCCAGGACCGTGCCAGCGTCTCAGGGCCAACTTGCGTCTTGAACTGGAGTTCCGACCCTTGCCAACATATTTTTGAGCCCGCCAAAAGAACACTAAGTCACCTGGGACTGGTGTCTTGTCTTGGGTGCTTGATCTGGATCGGGCCAATTCAGCAGTTCGCAAGCTTCTGCTGTAATGTAGCCTGATCATTGCCAGTCTTGCAGTTTCTCTCAGAGCGACCTGCTTTGCCAAAGACGGCTCAGCAGCAATCAATGAATGTTCAGCAAGTCTCTGAGAGAAGTTGTTGAGCACATCTCCATAGGCCGGGGGAACTCGGCCTGTAACACATTGGATCGGCGCCATGCCATTCTCATGAATGTCTGCATTGTAGGCACTCACAGCTTCAGACACCGCTGTATCCATTTCCAACGAAGTTGAAATGAAGTGCGTTGTGGTGATGGAACCAAGCACAGCTTTGAGTGTTCCACCTGATCGCTCGGCGATGCCATTTTGCCATGGCGCTCCAACAGCAATGTGCTTCAAGTAAATCGACTTGCTGTCACACCAATTGCAGAAGGACTCTGAAATGAATTCTCTGCCTTGGTCAGCAACGATGGTTGAAGGCGTGCCCAACAGAGGCAACCATCTCGTGGTCAAAAAGTTGATGAAGGATTCAGTGCTTTTGTCCTTCATGATTGCGGCTGCTTGAAACTTCGACACTGCATCTGTGGCATGGGCAACAACGTGGGTTTGTCTCAGAGAATCCTCCACCAGGACCAAATCCACATGAACTTGCTGGCCCACTTCACGAGGTGGAGGCAAACTGGCTGGCAATCGAGCCTTGGGTTGCCGACGCTCTTGGCAAACAGCACACTTCAGCCTTCGCGCGGCAAGAACTGCTTCCTTAGGAGCACCACATACCAACAATGCACGAGCAAGTCGGGAAGGACTGCGGTGGCCTGTGTTCACATGCAACCTGAACACTGCTGCTTTAACTGCTGGGCTAATGATCATCTGTTCCTCATCATTCATAAGCTCAAATGAACCATCTGAGTCATCATCAACAGCAGATTCCCCGGGAACTGGGGTGCCACCATCAGTCACATATGCTTCATATGCTTGCTGTTCTTCCAAGGCTGGAAAACATGCGGCCGTCTCAAAATCAAACTGATCCATGAATGCTTGAATCACTGCATCTGAGAATTCACGGCTATAGTGTCCAGAAGCTTCTGTCACCTTGGACCCTCCTATGACAGGATCATGGTTGTGGTCCCCGCTGCAGGTTTTGTTCATCATGCGGGAGACCAGTGCTTGGCTGGAGGTCAAAAGCCGTGTGCGCTTGCGATGCAGTTCACCGCCAGCTGATCTGAGGTTGAAGGCACACATGTCCACTACCACGGACAAAACATCTGGTCGTGAAAGAAAACGCTGCAGTTCATCTAGTTGCCAAGCTGCAGACGGGGCAGGGTTTTCTATCAAGAAATGTCTGCCATTTCGCAACTGTAACTCTGCAACCTTGATCGCAAAGAGGACCAATTCACGAGCTGCTGCACGTTGTTCATCCAAATCTGCGGGTGGATTAAGCCTATGCAGAGGCGACCAAGGCCCGCACGGAAAAGCCAGGATTACGACTTCAGGTTTAGTTTCTGCAATCAAGCTCAACGCTGCTTCGCGACGACTGGGTTGCATGAAGTCCCAGCCAGTCTTCAGAGTTAAACTATCTCCAGCATTCAAACCAACACGTCTGGCGGCAGCAGCTATCGGCTCAGTGTCAGTGAAAACTTCGGTCACAAAAGGGTCTGGCAGCTTCACTTCCATGGAAAACACTTGTCGCTCATGCTGCCTCATCTCGTTCATCCAAGTCATATTGAACACTTCCATGACACGTTGCCGATTGGTTGATATCGCCAATTGGTCTCGGCGATGTTGTTGCCAGGCTTGAGAAATCATCTGTCGAACTGCAGGCTTCACCTTCAACGACGCCGGAAGCTGAAAATCATCATTCAGCGTGGCATCTCTGGAGGAAACGGTGCCACCATCTCTGCATCCGTGGTCTCTTGTGTTGCTGCACCATTCATCGGAGGATTGCTCATGCCCATCACGTGTTGCATCACTTGGCTGAGCATGGCCTGCATGCGATTCTCGGAGTCGCTCAGGAAATGGCCCATTCGGTTCTCTACCATTGCCGTGACTCGGCTCTCGACGAACTGCAGCTGATCCTCCAGGTGTCGATCGTGCAACTGTTGATTGGCCTCTGCAGGAGCGGCTGGTGACGGCGTTGACGTCAAAGATCCGCTTCCTGGAGTCTTGGGTTGGGCCACTGACAAACTCGGCGTCTTTGGTTGAGCAGCAGGCTTGGGTGCAGGCTGGCCTGAAGCCGCACTTGCTGGATAGGCCATGGCAAGGTCTTGAACAATCGGTTGAACCTTGCTCTTGATGATTGGAATGGTGTCCTTCTCGCCAATCTCCACATCCAACAGATGTGCCAGCTTGATCAGATCTGACTTCAGCGTTGGAAGGCCACCACGAGGACCAATCAGCTCTCGAAGAGCCACAACACGACCAGCTTTCTCTGCGTCCTTGTCTGCCTGCTTCTTGATCTCCTGAATGGCTGCCTGCTTCAAGCAGCTGGCTTGTCCACGGTGTGAACGCGCTGCCAGCAAACCATCCAGAACTGGATCCTCGGCGAAAGCCAAGCGCCAACCCACTCGATTGCGAAATTGGCTCAACTCCTGCAGATTGCGAGAAGTGAACAGGTTCTTGTATTCGGCGATGTGATAGTGCTTGCCCAAAATTGTGCCCGCTTGGAATTGGGCGTGGGCCTGAACCTGCCACTGCTCTGGAGTCTCGATTGATGGGTAAGGGAATGGCAAATAGCGCAAGTATGAGCGCGATTGCAGCCAGAGCAACAAGCTTTGCTCGTGCCATACCCTTCGAGCCATCATGCGAAGTAGAAACCTTCGCCATCGATACCAAATCTGGCCGTAAGAGCCTGTCTCCTCGAAGAACAACTTGGCTGCCGCAGGGCTCAGGTATCGAATGGTCTCGTTCAAATCGTGCTTGCCCAACGGTGCAGCACTCATCACTGACACACTCAGTGGAGAGAACTTGATGACGTCCACCTTGAAGATGATGTTGACGGGAGTTCACGGGTGGTTGAAGATCCACCGACATGCTATGGGCCAAGGATGCGGCAGGCATCCGATCATCACAAACAAGTTCAGGCCAACATGCATGCTCTGTCAACATGTGATCACTGACAGGCTTTCGGGGGGTTTGCAACTCATTTGACTTGTCTGTCATGCATCTTGAAAACCAAGCTTTGACATTCAACTGCAACTCTATGATACCATCTAAACCACAACGTTTCCAACGACCCTCTGGGAGCCTTGGCCAAGTGTTGGCGACCAAGGGCAGCATGTAATGCCCAGCTGACATCTGCTCCAGTCGTTGAGTCTTGGCCTCAAGATGCTTGAAGCTGATGGTTTTGTCTGCGAAGTCCAGCACTCCACCAACTGATTCCAAAAAATCTCGGCCAAGTAAAAGACCTAGTGAAGGAACTGGTACTAGTGAAACCCAAAGCAGCAAAACACGACCACCCACGAAAGCTGGAAGACGCCAACGATGTGTGCTTGGAACAATGCCACCATTTCCAAATCTGAAATTCTCATGTTCAACTACTTCCTGAATCAAATTGGAAATGAATGCTGGTGCAGATTGACGGATCTGCTGCACATAGGCTTCCAACCACTTAGGGCCCGAGCAAGTCCTGTTACAGGCTGAGTCAAGGGCACCCACCAACATCTTGTCGCCAGCAATGTCCCTGGCGTCAGAAACAAGCACTGGATGGGTGGTGCCATAGAGGTTCACATTCAGGGCTTGGTCTAAAGGAAGGCCAACAGCAACATTCACCATGGCAGCTTCGTGTACAGTGCTGGTTGTGTCAATGGGGTCAGTGGCAATGGCGTCCGATTGACAAACTTCTGCAAAACGCACTTGCTTGGGAGCAGCTGCAACTTTTCCAGCTTTGCGAGCAAGTCCTTGGCCAGGCTTCTGACACTCTTTGTCACCGGCCCAATGCCCCGGCAATCCACAATCGAAGCATGGATGCTTCGAATTCTTCTTGGAAATCTGTCCACCCTTTGCAGCACCATCCATGGGCTTCTTGTAGCCACGGTCCTTTCTGATCTCCTGCAGTCTATTGCGTGCTTCACGCATCGTGACCAAAGTTTCAGCAGCTGATTCAAAATTGGCTTCCAACGTCTCAATGGTGCTGGGGTCCAAACCATCTTGTTCAGCTTCTTCCAACTCAGCAGCAAAGGCTTGTGCCTCCTTTTGAATAGCAGTTTCCAGCACCATATGCTCGTCATCCTCAACAAGCTCCTCCTCTTCAGGGGCCTCCTCATCCACAGGGTCCTCTGGCACTTCAGTCAAATAGACCCGTTTTGCAGGAGTACTTGAACCAGATCGTCGGCTCGCACCCGACAACGTCCTGAAGGAAGAAACCGATGCGGAAGAAGAGCTTCCTGCAGACGAAGGTTGTCCAAACATTCGACGAATGGTCAGCTTCGGCCTATTGCCGTCATTGCGGTCACCCATGCGTCGAAACAATGGATCTGAAAGGTGCAGGTCACGAAACAACCTCAATGACTCCCGTTCAATCTGCTCGTATTCCTCTTGACCCTGAAGTGCAGTCTCCAAAAGCTGTTTGCGGAGCGGGTCAAGTCCGCTCTTTCTTTCAGAAACCATCCAAGCTCGCTTGAAGGAAGTGTCACCCCTTCAGCTTTGAGATCAGCAACGGCAGTGCGAAAACGGGTTGCAAACTCACTCATACGTTCACCAGCTTTCCTTTGCAGATGGTTATAGAAATGCGTCCTCAGTTCACCTCTTTTATCCAATACAGATTGTCCATTGATACCTTCCAAGGCAGTAAGCAGCTTATTCAATCCATGCAGATAATCGACTGGTGCTATCTCATGCGTCTCACCAGTCTGAGGGTCCACAGCGGTCTGTCGAGGGCGATGCTGTAGCTCGGCTGGATCAAACTCTTCCCCTCGTTGGCGGACAATTCCGCTTTGACGCAACAACCACCTAGCAGCCAGGTTGTACTTTGTCGTAGATTCAAGATCTAGACTACTAACCCACCATGTCATTTCACGCTTGAATTGCCGCCATGTAAGCGGACTTCCATCCCAAGTCGGTACCCGACTCCACGCACCACCTGATCTGTCATCACCATTTTCAGCCATCGAATCAAAACTTCTTCAAAGTAAGAAATCAACAACCTTGGTGATCTTGCAAGTGAAACGATCAACAAACGGAGTGCGCAGCAGCCTCTGGAAATCTTGCAAGCTCCGAGTACCACTGTAGAATCACAATCGGCTTTGCACAACGAATCCAACTCACAGCGAAGCGGGCAACGAAGTGATCGGCCTTTTTGCTAGACAATGCGTAGCATGGCTTAAGATCTGAAGGAAATCGATGGGCGGTTCGAGCCCAAGCAAAAAGACGGCCGACAGGTCACATGAGATCATCCATGGTCAACAACAGCTTTCACAAGAATCGACGTTAGGCACTTTCTCTTGCTATATTTTGACACGTTCTTGGCACGAAATTAGGTTGTGCTTGGGCGTTTCGAGTGGTGTCCCTGAGACTTGTCGCAAGTGTTGCCAATCAAGATGTGTAAAGCTTCACCACATATAGCTTGCAAAAGATGTCTTCTTTCTAGGGATTCAGAAGGGATGTTACGGACATACAGAACATACATGTGTACAAACAATTGTCTACATGTCCAATTTGAAAAGGCCTTTACCGAAATGTATACACACAGGTTGGTTCAAGAAATATATCTCTTCTATTCTTCCTTATTCATTTGTCTATCTCTATACAAATTATTTCACAATATAAGGTTCCATCCAAATATGTTACATATGATTATGCATATTATGATGTATGCATATGTATATGTATGCATGCATGCATGTATGGATGTATGGGTGTATGGATGTATGCATGCATGCATGCATGTGTGTGTGTATGTAAAGTAATGTAATGTAATGTAATGCAATGCTATGCAATGTAATGTAATGTAATGTGTATATATATATATATATATTATATATATAACACATACAAGCGCATATGCAATCACTGACCATTTCTCTGATACACGAAGCACTTGTGAAACAGAACTCTCAACTTGGCATTTTTGAGGATGCATCTCTCACACTGGAGAAGCTGGAGAAGGGAATCACTGCGAACTGAGCAGGAGGGGCCAGTCAGAAGCTGGTGTTTTTGTGACCTGGGAGCCAGGCTGGGAGCCAGGATAGCGCTGAAATGGGGGTCTCTTTCTGCCGAGAATTCGTAGGATCGTTCTTGCCCCCTTCGAAGCAATTACACTTGCCTAGACCCAGTCGGATCACAGCATTCCAGTGTCTTTAAGTCTTTCACAGCCAAGCAACTGTGACATGTTTGGCTGCAAGCAGAACTTCATTGACTCCCTTCACCTTCAAAAGAAAGGGCTCGGGCTAAGAGTAAATGGATACTTTGGGTTCAAAAAGATCAAATAAATGCAGATCCAACCCAGCACACGCAAACAGCGTCAAGATTCTGGAAACTGCCGCGACCAGATACAATCACCTGCAATATCCTGTAGTCACTGTAGTCACTGTAGTCACTGTTTCTTCAAGAATCACGACATCGAACGCAGACAGGTGAAACCGGTGAAACTGAATTGACTCAAGCCCCCGGGAATCCCACCAGGCGGACAGCCTGAAACTATCTGAAACTCATAATTTTGAAGAAATTTATAAAAAACACAGTTTTGTCCTCTGGATGACTTGACGCAGGTGAGATTTTTTGGACGGTTTGCCCAAGAACGTTCGCTTTTTAAATCATATTTTTTGGATGGTTTCGCCATGAAACATAGTTGTTCAAGCCGCTTCTCTGCCAGTTTCCCTAAAGTGGTAACTACTGTGGCGCTATGCAAGATACCTTTCAAAAGCGCAAGTCAGACTTTGAGCAGAATCCAGCAAGAAATGCAAACTGTGCAATGAAGTAAAATCTACGTAGAAGCTGTGCAGCGCACTGTCAGAGCATTGAATAGCGGAGACGTTCTTGGACCTTCTCTGAATACGAAGCAACAAAGGAAAATAAGAATCAAAGGGCCCTTTTCATTTCAGTGATGGACCAGGTTGGTTACCCCTTAAAAAGGAAAGAATACGTCTTCGAGCTCCTTTGATCAAAATGTGTACCAAAACAAGTGGGGAGAATAGGTTGAAAAAAGGTTTTGTACAGCTCAAATTGAGGCACCAAATTTCAACCATATGTTTTTGTTGTCTTTATATAATTTGGTTGAACAAATGTGTGTTTTGTTCAAGACATGGATCGGAGACCTCATCGCCACGAAAAAGGTGAGGTGTGTCCACGTTTCGATTCTGGGAACTATTTGCAACGCTTTGTTCTGGCCGGTGACCCCCTTAACGACAGTTTTATGTGACAATGGCATGAAGTGGCATACCATCGGATGTCAGCCCGGACATTTAGACCTTGAATATAGCGGCAGCCAGCGGGGAGTCATTTGTCTCGTACCTGGCAAAACGGTTGCATCCAAGCATTGCTTTAAGCATTCAAACAAATTCAAACAAATTGCAGTTCAGCATTGACTGAAACCAGGTCGTTTTGCACTTGTTGCTGAATCTCATTGTCTTTGTCCCATCACCGAGGACATCCCGTTCATCAGGATAGAACATAATCTAAGTGGGTTGCAAGAACGCTCAAAGCAGCGATTCCAGCAAAATGACATTTCAAATAGACTCATAAAAGATTCATAAAAGATTCATAAAAGATTGATAAAACATAATAAATCACAATAAATCCATTCTTTCCTTTGTTGAGACCAGTGCTGAATCAGGATTGGGCGTCTGTTCGGCAATGACCGCAATGGTGCGCCTTCACTGTCCACAAACCCAAGCAACTGCACTTACCCCTCTTCAATTCTATCTTTTGACAACCGGGTGACAGAAGCTGAAAATGGCTCGCAGAATTCAGGAATTCCAGCCTTTCAATGGTCCACAAGCGCTTCAAACCAGCAATGGGTAGCCTGAAGCTGAGACTCTCTGGAGACCACTGCACGAATCCCCGCACGCGGCAACAGCGGTGAAGGTTGGCACCTGATAACGCAGCCTATCGTAGCCTTAAGCATAGACTTAAGCATGCCTTACATAACCGTATAACAGAAGTAAAAGCTCTGGCTGCTCTAGCTTAGCAAATGCACTCTATCGACTCGAACCTCGTCTGCTTCAAGTTTAGCACACGGGTTTCGTTTGATTTGTCGTCTTTGGCACGTCTTGGAGGGTCCAAATCTTTTGATTTTTGAGTTTCGTTGTCTGTGTTCTGAAGAAGGCAGCCTGGAGGGGTGTGTTTGAGGAAGGGAAGCAGAAAACATTGCAAATACAAACCTTTTGTTCAGTACCTTCGAAAAACACTCCAAACATCTGTCAACTAACAGCTGTCGCATGAAAGATAAATTTCACTGTAGCATGTTGCGCTCTTCCGCTTGCAAAAGTTGTGGTATTTACATTGTTTTGAGACCATGAGACCATGACTGAGGAACAATGTTGCAAACACTACCATTGCAAAAATATAAGAATGCATTTTGAGATAATTGCGACTAGTTTATCTGCGTTACTGCTCCCTTCCTAGCTTTGGTCTTTGAAGCCTATTTTCCACCATGATATTGAAATGTATTGAAGACCTGCTCAAGTATTTGCGCACTGCCTAGAGAGCGGAACTCTTCATGCGAAGCCTGAATATAGAAACAAATGAATCTCAAGCAAGACAAATAAAAATAAATAAGACATTACATTTTCATGAAATACAGAAATCAATCACTGAATCCCAGGACCCAAAACCTACTGCCGAAAACCCTCAGTCCTGAACTGCCACAAGGATTGAAGTAGGAAAAACAAACATGACTCAGGACTAAAGTTGCGTCGGATTTTCATGAAGTGTCTGCAGGACTTCAATGACTTCACAAGATCCTGCCCACCTCAAGCGTTGGAGAGTCGCCATGTGGCAAAGGTGCCAAGAGAACACACACTAAGCGGTACCAAACAAGGCCATCACAAGTAACTTACTGAAAGGTTGAAGGCCTTGAAGTTTTGCCCAAATGTTCCAAAATGATATTGGCCAGCGTGTGAATCTCCGCAGCTTATAGAAATGTTTCAGAATATTATATACTGTAGTCGTTTTGGAAGGGTTTTGTCCTGTGTGTTCAAAGGAAAGGCAGGGAAATGCCAGAACTGGCAGGTGTATAGCTCTGAATTTCTGACATATTCATTGTATTTTCATTGTGCACTGAGTTTTGTCTTGATCGTTCCTGGGGCAAACATCTGCAAACCTACACAGATCTCAGACTGGTTTCCATGCGCTTGCTCGAACTGCCATTGTCGGTCCCAGGTGTTTACACAACGTGGAGACACCGCTTCAATTCAAAGTAGCACACTTTCCGGCTCGCTTCAAGCTTGCTGTCTTCAACAGCAGCCGTTTGCCAAATACCGCATAAACGCGACACGATCGATCACTATCTTATGATATCTTATGTAACTTATGTATTCTTATCGCGGTTATGGGCTGATTGTGGCTGATTTATGAGTGTCTTGCGGCATACTTGAATGCGGTCTGACAGAGTCTGACAGTGAGAACGTTGAGAGTCCCTTCGGGACCATGTACTATACAAATGCAGCGCAAAGTCCAAGTGCTCTGCCGACCCACGGCCTGCAGTATCTTCGGCTTTCAATGTGGCACATACTTTCCATCTTTAACATTGATTTATGCTGCATCCAAACTAGACAATCGCCGTCAGCCCCTTCATAGCTGAGTCTTCTCCGCTCAAATTCACAGACTCTGAATCAAATTTTGAACACGCACAAGAAACTGTTTCAACAACATATGCATGTATGTACATATAAATATGCATGTTTCTACATATGTACACATAAATACATGTGCGTCTTCACATACAAACATACTTTTGACCATATGTCTGGGCGTCTTGGAGTTCCTCCTTTCATACAATGAAGTAAACCACACAGCCAGAAATCAAAAGGACCTCTGCGCATTTAGTGATGAGTCACAAAAGCCAGCAAACATCCAGTGTTTTGGATTGTATAATTTGCACAAACAAATTGATGCATGGCCATGCATGCACTACGTCTCCCCAACTAGCCTGGCCGCTAGATCTATCCATATTCACATCATCTGAAACCATGTCAATCCGTTTGCCAACATAACATAATGCCACGTATATATATATATATATATGTATAATTAATGCGTATTTATCTTGATACTCATTTCTGATTATGCTTGAGGACATGTACTTAGAACATCATTTTTCTAAAATATCCGAACCTGTACTTAGAACATAGAAAAACACATACTTAGAACATAGGAAAGTGTTCTAAGCACGCACTTAGAACATCAAAAAAACACATAAAATTACTTAGAACATCTCCATTGATTTTTGCACACTTAGAACATAAACAAACCATATACTTAGAACATTTCCAGTGACTTTGGTAAATCTGCACGGCATACACACACACAAATACCATTGTGAACACCACACTTAGAACACGTTCTCCTCTCAGTGCTGCTTAAAAACATTGCCTTTTCTTCCGGAACAATGTCCCAAGCAGTCTTTGCTGCAACGGGAAAGGTCTCTGGTAATTTGTAGGTTTCCTACTCGGGGTAGTCAAAAAGCATAGGTTTCAACAGTAATTTTTTTTAATTCTGGATGATTTGGGGCTCAAACACGGTCGAACACTAAATGGAGTTACTGCATACGCCCTCAAGATAGGTTGTTGAACCACGATGAATCACGCGTCTAGATATCTTAAAACATAATTGACATGTTCTATGTGTTGACTCTACCACCTACCTGTGGGCATCCTGGAAACGAAGAAGACGAAAGGTGCTTCAGCCAAATGATGTCTATCCACAAGCCCTTAAGATAAGGAACGGAATCACGCGTCTAGATCATTTGAAACATAATTTGGGTATTCTAAGTGTAGCCTCTGCCACCTATCTGTGGGCATCCCGGAAACTGAGAATACGAAAGGATTTTCAGCCTAATGGAGACTATGCACAAGACCTGAAGAAAAGAAACAGAACCACACGTCTAGATCTTTTAATACATAATTTGGATTAATTTGGGATGTTCTAAGTGTAGACTCTGCCACCTATCTGTGGGCATCCCGGAAACTGAGAATATGAAAGGGTTTTCAGCCTAATGGAGTCTATGCAGTCTATGCACAAGACCTGAAGAAAAGGCACAGAACCACACGTCTAAATCTTTTAAAACATAATTTGGGTTTATGGGTGTTCTAAGTGTAGACTCTGCCACCTATCGATGGGCCTCCTCAAGACCTAAAGAAAAGGAACAGAACTACGCGTCTAGATCTTTTCAAACATAATTTGGACTAATTTGTGGTGTTCTAAGTGTAGACTCTGCCACCTATCTGTGGGCATCCCGGAAACTGAGAATATGAAAGGTTTTTCAGCCTAATGGAGGCTATGCACAAGACCTGAAGAAAAGGCACAGAACCACACGTCTAAATCTTTTTAAACCCAATTTGGGTTAATTTGGGATGTTCTAAGTGTAGACTCTGCCACCTATCTGTGGGCATCCCGGAAACTGAGAATATGGAAGAATTTTTTTCAGCCTAATGGAGACTATGCACAACACCTGAAGAAAAGGAACAGAACCACACCCCTAGAGTCTGCCAACTGCCTGTGAGCATCCTGGAAACTGAGACTATAAAGAGTTCTTTAGACAAATGGGGTCTTTGCACAAGACCTGAAGAAAAGGAACAGAACTTCGCATCTAGATCTTTTAAAACATAATTTGGATTAATTTGGGATGTTCTAAGTGTAGACTCTGCCACCTATCTATGGGCGTCCTGGAAATTGAGAATATAAAAAGGGTTTTCAGCCTAATGGAGTCTATGCACAAGACCTAAAGAAAAGGAACAGAACTAAGCGTCTAGATTTTTTGAAACATAATTTTGGTTAATTTAGGATGTTCTAAGTGTAGACTCTGCCACCTATCTATTGGCCTCCTGGAAATTGAAAATATATAAGGGTTTTTAGCCAAATACAAGGCCTCAAGAAAAGGGAACAGAACCATGCGTCTAGATCTCTTAAAACATGATCTGGATTAATTTTGTATGTTCTAAGTCTTAGACTCTGCCACCTATCTATGGGCGTCCTGGAAATTGCAAATATAAAAGGTTTTTCAGCCTAATTGAGTCTACAAAAACGACCTGAAGAAAATAAACAGAACCATGCTTCTACATCTTTTCAAACATAATTTGGGATGTTCTAAGTGCAGTCTCTGCCGCCTATCTGTGGTTATCCTGGAAACGAATAATGCAACTCAGCCAAGTGGGGTCTATGCACAAGAGCTGAAGAAAAGAAATATAATCACGCGTCTACATCTTTGAAAAAAAAAACCTGGGATGTTCTAAGTGTAGACTCTGCCACCTACCTGTGGGTTTCGTGGGAACCAAGAATGCAACTCAGCCAAGTGGAGTCTATGCACAAGACCTGAAGAAAAAAAGAGAATTGCGCGTCTACCTTTTTAAAAATATAATCTGGGATGTTCTAAGTGTAGTCTCTGCCACCTACCTGTGGGCATCCTGGAAACCAAGAATACAACTCAGCCAAGTGGAGTCTAGTCTATGCACAAGCCCTCAAGATAAGGTGGATAAGGAACTGGATGGCCAAGAAGAGATTGGATTCAGTTTTGGTTGGAATTCTGTATATATAAATATATGTATACAGAGTCTTCCAAATGCAAATTCATATGTATATATATATTACTATATGTATTAAAAATTATACCAGCCTTGACCCCAAACAGATGTAGAAAATCTCAATTATATTTTAGTTTGCGGCAAAAAATATCATTTCGGCATCCTTCCCTGCATTTATTGCCCGCCCTGCCCCATGCGCCCCAACCCAGAGTGGGAGACAAGTGTGGGAGACAAGTGTGGGAGACAAGTGTGGGAGACAAGTGGGAGACAACTGTAAACTCATGCGGCCCAAGGAACCCAGAGTGGGACAAGTGTGGGAAACAAGAAAGGGGAAAAAGTGTGGGAGACAAGTGTGAGAGACAAGTGTGGGAGGCAAGTGTGGAAGACAAGTGGGAGACAAGTGGGAGACGAGTGGGAAACAAGTGTAAAATCATGCGGCCCAAGACACCCAGAGTGGGAGACAGGCGTGGGAGACAAGTGGGAGACAAGTGTAAACTCATGCGGCGCAAGACACCCAGAGTGGGAGACAAGTGTGGGAGACAAGGGGGAGACAAGTGTAAACTCATGCGGCCCAAGGAACCCAAGTGTGAGGGACAAGTGGGAGACAAGTGTAAAATCATGCGGCCCAAGGCACCCAGAGTGGGAGACAAGTGCGGGAGACAAGGGGGAGACAAGTGCAAACTCATGCGGCCCAAGGCACCCAAGTGTGAGGGACAAGTGGGAGACAAGTGTAAAGTCATGCGGCCCAAGGCACCCAGAGTGGGAGACAAGTGCGGGAGACAAGGGGGAGACAAGTGTAAACTCATGCGGCGCAAGGCACCCAGAGTGAGAGACAAGTGTGGGAGACAAGGGGGAGACAAGTGTAAACTCATGCGGCCCAAGGAACCCAGAGTGGGAGACAAGTGTGGGAGACAAGTGTGGGAGACAAGGGAGACAAGTGTAAACTCATGCGCTCCAAGACACCCAGAGTGAGAGACAAGTGTGGGACACAAGTGGAAGCCAAGTGTAAACTCATGCGGCCCAAGGCACCCAGAGTGGGAGAGGGAGACAAGTGTAAACTCATGCGGCCCAAGGAACCCAGAGTGGGAGACAAGTGTGGGAGACAAGTGTGGGAGACAAGTGGGAGACAAGTGTAAACTCATGCGGCCCAAGGAACCCAGAGTGGGACAAGTGTGGGAAACAAGTGTGGGAAACAAGTGTGGCAGACAAGTGTTGGAGACAAGTGTGGGAGACAAGTGGGAGACAAGTGTAAACTCATGCCCCCCAAGACATCCAGACAAGTGTAAAATCATGCG